AGCGTCTGCCCCCTGGTGGTCAGTGGGTGTCATAGTGACCAGTCATTCCCAGTCGTTCTGCTGTTAGGGTCAATTTGCATATTACCCTTTTATTATATAGGATATTTTATCAAAGCATCACCAACATAGGCATTTTTGATGTTTAGGATTAATATTTGCTGGGAAGTAATTTATCTGTAAAGTTATTAAGGTATGTAAATAATAGGTTCTGACCACCAATTAGGATGTGTGTGTGGAGAGGGTATGCAGGTGTGTGTAGGGGGGTTCTCCACACTTGAATAATTCTCGAATACCAGTAAGGTATCCTACCACTCAACTCAATTGTGACAGTACCTGGAGATAGCAGCAGATTCCACAGATTAAGGGCTTGGCCCCACAAGAACTACCCTCCACGACAGATGCCAATCGTAAGCCCAGATTGTCGCCTGTGGCTTCTGACAGACTGGCTGTAAATCAGAGGTTCCCACGACCACCTCATTGTGTTCAATTAATTTGTTAGAACAGCTCACAGAGCTCACTAGATTACAGATTTATTACAAAAGACATGACTCAATAGCCAGATTAAAAGAAACAATGGGCAAGATCCCAAACAAAGGAGCTTCTATCCTTGTGGAACTTGGGGTTCTGCACATGGAAGTGTTCCGGTTCCCCAACCTGGAAGCTCTCCAAAGCCCTCCTTTTGGATTGTAGAGGCTCCATTACATAGCCACAGCTGATGAAATCACTGGCCGTTGGAGATTGATTCTACCTTCAACCTCTCTTTCCTCCCTAGAAATGGTGTGTGTGTTTGTGTGTGAGTGAAAGTTTCACTCCTCTATTTATGGTTGGTTTCCTTGGCAACCTGCCCCTGTCCTTAGTTGTTTTCTAAAAGTCACCTCATTAACATAAGCCCGGTAGTGGTGGTGGAAAGAGGCTTATTATGAATCACAAGACACACATTTCACCTTTATGACTCTGAAGCATTTTTAAAATCCAAGAACAAAAGCCCAAATACAACAATAGATGCTCCCTGATGCCTTTATTGCTCAAAATTCCAAGGGTTGGGGGGGGGGAGGGGGCTGTGAGCCAGGAACTGTGGACAAAGGCCAAATGTATATGAGAAGTATTTTTGGGTCATCTGAATGACCTAATAACTATTTCTTATAAATCACAATATCAAAATATTGCCTATTCCTCTCATTATAGCATATATATTTCTCTTTGGTAGGTTTAAGTATCTGTTTCCCAACCACCATCTTTCCTAATCCCTTATAAGAACATTTTCTGTTCAGTCTTGTATCCTCAGTACCAATGCTTAACACAGGCATGGGACTTAAAGTTTGAATGCATGATCAAATAAATTTGTTATAAAACCAATGAATATGTCTATATACAAGAGAATGGGACAAGGGAAATAACACTTGAATGCTTACAGCTGTTGTTCAAATCTAGACCTTCATATCAACTGTTCCTTTTCCTTCTAATTATATTGCTCTCCTATTTGTCCCCATCCTCACCCCCAACTCGTCAGGGTTTTCACTCTTTAACACTCACCTCAAATATCTGTGCGCGCACGAACGAACACACACACACACACACACCCCAAGGCAGCTTTCCCTTTTTTTCTCTAAAACCTTTTCTTGATGCTCCTCAGCCTCCTGGGCATACCTTAGTCACAGCACCTATCACACCATACTGTAAAAGGTGAAAGATTTATGCGATCTGAAGAGAAACCAGAGTATCTATTACACCATACTGTAATGATTGGTTATTTCCTAGCCATTTACACTTGAAGGATAGTCTTCATCTGTATCTGCATGTCCAGCCATCAGTACACTGCCTCGCAGTAGTGAGCACTCAAAAACATTTAGAAGTAATGGGTAAAAGAGTAAATGAATGGGAAGGGGAAAGTCTACTTTATGGAAAAGTATCTCAGCATAACTTCTTTGATAAGGTGTCAATCAGGTAGATACACTATTTCAACTTCTAAACAGAGAAAATTAATATGACTGTATATTAAGATTATTGCTTATACGGGAAAATTACAATTAGAAAAAGTGCTTTAATTCATTGGAAGGACCCAGGCAGAATTATCTTCAACATTCTTTTTCCCTCTCACCCCTGATCCCGTGTCAGTAAAAAATGCTTTTTTTCGTTTTCAACTTAGGATTCCCTACACTATCCCCAGATGCCACACGTGGCTCTCCTTCCCAGAAATCACCCAATGATCTCTTCCTCCCAAAATGTGTATATGCCCCATGTCCTCAGAGTCTTGAATCACAACTGAGTAAGCTCAAAAATATAACCCAGTTGTGTGGGAAAATGGGTGCTCAAGGATTGATGTTCCCATTTTGACAGATACTTTTTTCTAAGGCAATGGCTTTACTCAAAGCCCAGTGCGGGGGAAAAACATTTGAGACATGGGACCTTTCAGAAATCCTCTAGTCACTGCAGTGGGGTGAGCTCCCTCGTGGCACCACAGAGGTGAAGGGGTGAATGGGCCATTTGGCATGTGGATTATTTTGGGCTGAAGGCCATTGAGACCTAGCAGACTCAAGAAAAAAATTTACCACTCTCTTAACTGCCTAAAATAACTTAGATAATGAGTGGGTCTAGCACAGAAAGAGAGCTTAATCAGAGATAACTTTTTATCTGAAAGACGTACCTGCATGGCAGGGCAAACTTCTAATTACCAAACATCTGCTTTCTCTCATCATCCTGCGAATTACCCTATTTTTTTTTGCCCTTTGGAGCTCTAGGCCTCTCATTCCTCAGCTCAGGGTGGCATATTAAGCTTCGATTTTCCAACTTGCCCTTGTGTCTCATATCTTTAGGGCTCCCATACATATGAAATTATTTTTTTTCTCCTGTTAATATGTCTTATGTCAATTTAATCATTAGACCAGCCAAGGTAAGAGGGAACACTTCCCACCGCCTGGAGAGTTAACAAAGCTTGGTGGGTAGGGCAGGGCTGTGAAGCCAGGCTGCCTGAATTTGAATCCACTCTCCAGCCTTCTGAAACCTTAGGCAACCTCACTGGTGCCCAAGTTTTTTAACTGTAAGGTGAAATAAAAGACCTTCCTGTAGAAACTGGTGGATTGATAATTGTCTGCTATTAATATTATCATTTTACTGTGATTAGGACTAGCTCTGAAAGAACCTGAAGAGAGAAATTCCCCAAGATCAGAGAGGAAAAAGGAGAGTGCACTTACTGATTTGGTTGTTCAGCTTGAATGCAATGTCCAGCTGCAGGATAAACAGCATGAACTGGAACCAAGGACTCATCTCCATGGAGGGGAGAGGAATGTGGACAGAAAACACAATGTCGTTGGCTCCTATTTCCTTTGGAATCGCTTCATCGATGTCTCGGATTTTGTGGCAGTGGTTGGGTCCCCAAGGCACGAACCATTTTGTCTTGTGATGGTTTTTACGAACATCCACACATTTCACTGACATGTAGGACACTGCCGTGGTGGGTCCTGGAGCTGAAAAGAAAATGTTTTCCTATTTTAGAAAAATCATCCACGGAGGTGCTCATTTCTGGCTAACATTCTTTTTACTACCTTCTTCTCTCCATTTTTTTTGTACAGCCTTCTATAATTTGGGATCAGTAATACCTATGGATCTCCCAAATCTCGGTGAGGATCCTTCATTGACCTCTGTAGGTGTCTTAAAGTATCCCCGAGAGCCTACCCAGTGTGTTTTCAATCACTGGTATTTATTGAAAGAATATATTTGTAATCTGTTTGGTTCAGTTACCTCCTCACTGTAAAATGAATGTCACAAAAATGCACAGTGCTTCGGTTCCCACCTGCCTGTGAACCTCAGGGCTCTGGTGCTTCATAGACGAGTGTCTCAAGTCAGAAGACCAGGGCCTGAAACCTGCTTAAACAACTTCCTCTCAGTTCATCTTGGGGAAGTTGGTTAATCTATAGTGGCTTCAGGACCCTCATCTGAGAAACAAGATGGTTGGTTTCTAAGGTTCAACTAAGATAGCTGGTTAACTCTAAAGTTTTACAAAATTGCTTTTCTAAAAATATATATTTTCATTGATTTCAGAGAGGAAGGGAAAGGGAGAGAGATATAGAAACATCAATGATGAGAGAGAATCATTGATCTGCTGCCTCCTGCACACTCCCTACTGGGGATTGAGCCCACAACCAAAGCATGTGCCCTTGACAGGAATCGAACCCGAGACCCTTCAGTCCGGAGGCCAAGGCTCTATCCACTGAGCCAAACCAGCTAGGACCAAAATTGCTTTTGATTGAGAGAAAGAACTAAGTTAACCTCAGGTCCCCACTTAGAGTGGTACCTGTCAAAGGATGAGAACTCAAACATTGATACTTCAAAAGTGTACAAAATATAATCCACACATTTTAAGAGAGAACATCAGATTTGAACAATATAACATTGAAAAAAACACTATTTTGTGATTACAAAATGATTACATGATTACAGTAGAAATTTTCAAACTGTAGAAATTTTCAAGTTTGAAACAACATTTACTCAAAATCCCACTAGCAGTGGTTCTTAACCTTCCTAATGCCATGACCCTTTAATACAGTTCCTCATGTTGTGGTGACCCCCAACCATAAAATTATGTTCGTTGCTACTTCATAACTGTAATTTTGCTACTGTTATGAATTGTAATGTAAATATCTGATATGCAGGATGTATTTTCATTGTTACAAATTGAACATAATTAAAGCATAGTGATTAATCACAAAAACAATATGTAATTATATATGTGTTTTCCGATGGTCTTAGGCGACCCCTGTGAAAG